TTAATTTGACATTTGTAATGATAATTGTAAATAGATTATTATGGTTGAATGGTTAATTATTAATTATTGACATCATCTTAACTGAAACATTATTCTCTGTTTTTATGTAATGACATTTAAAAATAAAAATATTTGCACACTGTTCATATACTGTAGAATGTGAGAAACTATTGTTAATAACTGTGTAACATCATGTGTACCATATTCTCGCAAATAAACATTTATTATTATTATTATTATTATCGCATTAATGTGATTATTAATGTAAATATATAACGTAGTAGCTTTCAATTTATTTCTTGGGAAAATTTAATTAAGTAAGTAATTTATTTAAAAACACATGTTTTCAATTTTTATACAGTTTTGTCAATATCCAATCCACAGCCCTCTTATTCTGTAACTCTGGAAACTTCTGAGGATAACCAAAATAAATTGTTCACACTGTCGCACAATGGCATCTTGTTCACTCTGTGGGCAAGATGCCATTGTGCGATTTTGGTATTCTATAATTCATTTTTAATAAATCAATAATCCCTAGCCAGTTACTATATATTTTTTTAATTAAGATAAAATCACTCATTGAAGTTCACTTTCATGGTCCCTAATGCTTACGAAATAAGAAATAACAATTTATCGAGACACAATCGAGTGTCAAAATGGAGTTCAGTGGAGATCGTCGATATTGGCATTTCAAAGTTGCGAACCTTGTAAACGATTGATAGAAAGTTAAGCTGTATTAGTGATTTTGACACATTGGAATGGCTCACTTTTTTTGGAAATTATGACTTTAGATTATCAGTTGAGTAAGCGACACGTTGATATTATACAAACTAGATTCATTAACTGTTGATAATTCACTCTTGTTTATTCAGAAAGATTGATATTCATACGACATATCCTAAAAACTACTTTGTTTCTATTACATTACCTTTATATTTCTCTTAAACATATTAACATCATGACATTTATGTATTTAAGGCGCCATCTTTTGATGTAAACAATCAAAAAGCTATAGGTTTTTTAATTTTAAGCTTATCAAAAGGTATATTATTTAACTATTAGAATGATTTATTTGTCTATTGATTGACTTAGAAACTTTTACAAATCACAACGAAAAACCGACTTTCTTAAAGTTGAGTTTTTTTGCTTCGACAAAATAGACATCAATATCATATCATGTACTTAGAGAGCCTCTTGGTGGTTTTCCAAACAAATTATAACCTCAAAATGAATTATATTTTGCGTGATAATAAGTTCTAAAACTCGGTCGCGGTATAATAAATACACGTTGTCCTTAAATACACGACACGTTGTCCTTTATCTGCTGGTAGTGGTCATAAAACGTGTATACATATGTATGCAAGGAGTATTACCTACCAGTGCTTACCTATGGTGCTGAGACATGGGTAACAACTAAGGCCATCATTCACAAGCTGCAAGTAGCCCAAAGAGGCGACATGGAGAGGCGACTGGTAGGAGTGAGACAGAAAAACAAACGCAGTCGGATGTCACGCATCGCGTAGCAAAATTAAAATGGCAATGGGCTGGACATGAAGCCAGGAAGCAGGACTCATGGTGCAGAGGTCCTGGAATGGAGACCATGCGGTCGAAAGAGACCCGTCGGTAGACCACAAATGCGATGGAAGGACGATGTGATGAGGCTGGTTGGTGGGCACAAACTGGATCCAAGTTGCCCAAAACAGATCATAATAGAGAAAACTGAAGGAGGCCTATCCCACTATAGTAGAAAGTGGATTGCATTTTTGAAATTAGTCGAAAAAGTTAGCTATTTTTATCAGTTGTGTAACTCTGTAATTGGCTTAAGTTACTATCGCATCACATTATTATAGTATGTATTTATAAATAATCTGTGGAGTTTCTGAATAATAAAAATAAAAAAAAAGTGGGCTCAGATGATGATGAGATGATGATATAATGTATAAAAATTAGATACAAATATAAAAAGTTACTTCTTCATAAAATTAAAATTTATTAAACTGTTATTTATTGAGTTTTATCTAAAAATTGTATATATTACATATGTATTATTAATATACAATATAAGTATATCATTGTTGACTTAATTATTAATTTTTTAATTAGTACTATTATAAATTTGCTATCTTATTATTTATCATAAAAATACTTTCAAAATTTGTTTAAAAAACCTAAAGTATTTTTAAGACATATTTTTTTAGGATTAAGGATTCTTTACTAAGTCTGCGCTGTCCGTCCGTCTGACACCATCTGAATAACCGTGATAGTTACACAGTTTATATTTTCACAGATGATATAACTAATAAATATCATTATAACAACTAATACTAAAACCGAATTAAATAAATATTTAATTTCCACATAACAAACGTATATTTCGCATACGGAACCCTTTGTCCACGAATCTGACTTTTTTTTTTTATTCTTATGTATAAACAACGATAAATGACAAATATAATATATTTAAATCTATTAGATTTAAAGATTTTGTTTTTAAGAAAGGATTAATTAAATATCTAACGCCTGTTAGATATTATAGCTGGCTCTAATAAAATTAATCATTGATGATTCTTTGATTCTTGACATACATAATGAAAACGTCTTCATTGGTTGCAGTTCTAAAACATCTTTCGTTATTTATCAATATACACTTAATTCATACAATGATAATACAATATTTATCACTTCAGACCATTACATGAAATAAAAAACAATTCTTTTGCCTATTTTCTCACTCAATCTAAACCAATGTTTAAGTAATAGGTAAGTATGTAGTGTGACTACTGAGCGTAGAAAGTTGAAAGAACATCGCCGAAAATGGCACCAATACCATTAAATATTAATACTTTAATAATAATTACTAATTTATTTATTAAATTGGAATCAAATATTTATTTGACACGGACAAGCTGCGATCCAAAATTTATATTTAAAAGTACTTTAACAGTAACATTTTTATTCGCAAATATTCACATTCAATATACTTAAATTCTATTGAGTTAGATGGATGTTATTTACACGGCAGATCAAGAAGATCATTTATTTCTATTAGATCATCGAACACAAAAACATTAAATTAGATTGACCGAAAATAAACTTAAATTTACTAAAAGCGCCATCTCTTGGTGATTTTTCACTCACTCTTGTTTGTTCAGAAAGATTGATATTCATACGACATATCCTAAAAACTACTTTGTTTCTATTACATTAACTTTATATTTCTCTAAAACATATTAACATCATGACATTTATGTATTTAAGGCGCCATCTTTTGATGTAAACCATCAAAAAGCTATAGGTTTTTTAAATTTAAGCTTATCAAAAGGTATATTATTTAACTATTAGAATGATTTATTTGTCTATTGATTGACTTAGAAACTTTTACAAATCACAACAAAAAACCGACTTTCTTAAAGTTGAGTTTTTTTGCTTCGACAATATAGACATCAATATCATATCATGTACTTAGAGTGCCATCTCTTGGTGGTTTTCCAAACAAATTATAACCTCAAAATGAATTATATTTTGCGTGATAATAAGTTCTAAAACTCGGTCGCGGTATAATAAATACATAATGAGAATTAGTTAGTGACACACAATAAAATAAGTATTTTCATATATTTTTTTGGCTTTGGGGCCACCAATGTATGGACGTTGAGCAATGTCCTTTGTAATTAATATTCCTTAGGGAGTGTTGAGTAGTGACTGAATTAGGGGATGAATGTTTGTATTTTTTTTATGTTTGGATTTTAAAATTTTGCATGCGGCTTCTTTTTAGAACGTAGGTGCTCACTAAGACAGGATTTAAAGAAATTCGATCCCCAAGGGGGTAAATTAGGGGGTAAAAGGTTTGGAAGGATCCTACGCTTCTTCTCCTAACTCTGTCGTGAAGCATGTCGTCATAACAAACTAACATCGTGTTTAATAAATATAATGTGCTAAAAAATAAAAACATGGCTTTCAAAAAAAATAAGTCGACTACACTTGCGGCCTTTGACTTAATTAACAAAATATTACAAAGCATTAACAAAAGCAAATATACAACAGCTCTTTATATTTTTCACTTTTTCTTGAAAAACACAATTATCGTTATTTTTACGATTATTTTACTTTTCGTCTTTACCTTAATAATTTTATTTTTAGGTACAAAAAATATTTATGTTTTATTCTAAAATCTACGCTAATAAATGGGCTTTATAAAAATATAAACATGTTGTATGTTATTCAACAAAAAAAAACTGAGAAAATTAAATATCCCCAGACGATGTTGATGTGTGTAGTTTAATACCCGTATCTCAAAAGAAGTAATAACTTGAAAATATTTCTTAAAAAAATCTGGTAAAGAGATATTTTACTAAATTAACAAGAATGTTAATGAAATAATAACTATTAATAGTTAGAATACTTATTATATTCTAAGCTATTAATAATTCTTACTTCATTCAAATTTTCGTCTATTCATTACAAATATGATATTAAGTTGTGACATTTTCTGGACTATACATACGAGTGTAAAAGATTTGTAAGAGTCTATTTGAGAGTGTGACAGAGAAACAAGTAGCTGATGAATTTAAATGATGGCATAAGATGAAACATTGTCATTCTTTTCATCGCGTATGTGAGTAAAATAGAAAAATGCAAAATTCATACTTCTAAGACCGACGTTTTAATTCAAATAGAAAACCAATATTATAAAAAAGGCTGTACGAGCTAAGACTCTATTCTCTACCTAAAATTAGATTGAAAAAAAATAATGTCATAGTTGACTCCTATAAAGGGCTGCCAGATTGCAATAACTAGTAGATATTGAAAAAATATAATTTTCGTCTTTCTTTAGTACAACATAAAAAGTTTAGGAGCCAAAAATTGTTAGATTAGAGATGGGCACTGAAATAAGAAAAATACAGAATATTATTACATATATGAATTTTTATAGCATTCTTGATAAAAAACACAATACGCTTTTGCAATTTGGGAGTTATTTTTACTATCATCGCATAGCAACATCGGCTTGCTTTTTTTCTATTCTGTGGTTTGTTGGTTGGATAAAGCTGGTTATATGGCGTAAATTGTCGTGCGTGATTGAAAAGAAAATTGAAAACTTCTAGAATTTAAATAATGGCTGCTCGTGGTGAAAGGGGTGTATCAAGAGTTTTAGAAAAGTTAGAAGCTTCTGTGAACTCTGGTCAATACTATGAAGCACATCAAATGTACAGAACCCTTTACTTCAGGTAATCAAATTTAGTAACCAATGGCCCCAAATCAGTTATAATTTGATCAAATGGTTAATGTTTATAAATATAATCTCAATTTTCAGATATTTAAGTCAAAAAAAGTACCCAGAGCTATTGAATTTACTGTACAAAGGATCCACAGTTCTTTTACAACATGACCAACAAGGCAGTGGAGCTGATCTGGCTATACTACTTATAGATGTTCTGACGAAATCAGAAACCAAACCAAGTGAAGAATGGATTGAAAAAATTGCCAAATTATTTGAGATGATGAATTCCAGTATTCCAGAGCGTGAGTCATTTCTTACAAATGCAGTTAAATGGTCAATGGATAGTAATAAAAAAGGTCATCCTTTACTTCATAAGGTAATTATTTAAATAATTTTGTACAACATTTAAAATTTATTATCAATGTTGAAAGATTAGTATAATTGTAACTTTATTAGTTTAGTTTCTAATCAGAGCTGATATCCAGATATAATAAGCATAAAAACCTTTACCTCTATGATTCAAACTAAGTTTAATGGTATTCGACAACATTTATATTTATTCATGAAAACTTTAACCAAATAATAAATTGATTTACAGAAAATTGCTGAAGTTTATTGGAAAGAGAAAAAATACACAGCAGCGCATAGACATTTTTTGCATTCCTGTGATGGTTCAGCTTATGCAACTATGCTTATAGAACTCCATACAACCAAAGGACTCAAATCTGAAATAGACCTATTCATAGCACAAGCAGTCCTACAGTTCCTTTGCCTACGCAATATACAGATGGCCACTGAAACATTTAATGAATATACAGGCTCTCATCCCACAATAAAAAATGATAAAGGACCACCATATTTATTTCCATTACTGAACTTTCTTTGGTTCTTATTGAAAGCTATTGAACAGTATGTATTTTTTATTATCTATATTATTTGCATATAAAAGTTTGTTTAGGAAATTTCACTAAAGCAACATTCAGCTATTTAGTTGAAACAGCTGAGTTATTTATTTCTAAAATGAGCATATTATTTATCTATAAATATGTCATAAAGAGGTAAAGTTTCTACTTTATTTGTAGGTATTAAAGATACCATCTTTGAAAATACTGATCTGATCATGAAGATTCTTACAGCTACAGGAAGCTACATAATGTGGTTGCTATAATTTACATATGCAAAGTTGTGGGAAACCACAAGGGATCAATGTATTGAATAATGGCTTCAATTGAATTTTTGAAAAATGGAAAAATTTGAAATTTTTGTTTTTAAGTACAATATATGCATACTTACAAACCGGCAATGAATTGTTGTTCAAAAATTTTACATGTGTAGATTGATTAATATTCGACCTCGAATATTAATCAATCTAATTAGACATCTATTTCAGTTAGATTGATAGAGAATGCCTTTGGCATTAAGTCAACCATTTGTGTTTATAAAAGCGAAGTAAATAAATGTTATTATTTTTGTTTCAGGCGACATGCAAGTCAATTTAAAGTATTAAGAAATTGGTATGCTATTAGTATAAAAAGGGATCCCAATTATTCAGTATACTTAGACAACATTGGACGTATATGGTTTGGTATTGAAATTCCAAAAGATAACAGAAATGCTAATTCAATGTTTGGTGGACTTTTGAAATCTATAATAGGTGAGGTGGAGAGTTCTGATGAAGATGACTTTACTGGACACAATACTTCCACTCCAGATTTAGATTAAAATGGATAATAATCAATTGTAAAAATTTGTTTTTATTGACATATCAGCTTAAGCTGCATATAAGATTCAGTGATTTTATGTATAATTATTTATTAACTTTTGTTTACCTACAAGGACAAATCACAAAAAAAATTTAGCAAATAAATTCATACTGCTGACTAGTTCAATTTAATTTGTCATGTGTTCAGTGTCTAAACAATAACAAAAAAGTTAATATTTCTTAACTCACTAAAACATACTCACTGTCAACCATAAAACTTGTACTTTTTTGTTGTAATTATTCTTCTACTTAATTCATAATGGTTATTTTACATTTTTAGCAATAATTTTTGTTTGTACATTGTCCTATATGAATTACGTGATACATCATGTAATGTGTTTTGATTATTTTCTATAGTACTTGTTTATCATAACTGTAAATAACATAACATCAAGATGTGGAACCTACATTTTTTGTACAGAACAAAATAAATGCTGTCACACTCAATTATTTGTTGATAAAAATTTCAAGACATGTAGAAGACTAGACCATATTCGGTGATCCTCCTGTATGTGTGAAAGTAAGCACCACAGCCCCGTTCTGCTCTTTCTGCCGCCAGGAATATATCATATCTGCTTTTACGATTTAAATGTTACCACTTCTGTATACTGGTGACCGACGCTCTGCCCAGCGATTCCGTAAAAATCCAAACCCGAATTCGAATTCACTCAGGTGTCTGAAATCACTTCAAAAGCGGCATTCCCTCAACCTTCAATTGGTAATAACGTTTCGTGGTATAAATGAAGTAAGTTTCAAAATTACATAGAAATAAAATATCTGAGACACGGAATCGATCTTGAAAAAAATGAATCAATAGAATATCTACACTAAATAACGCGAATTTGGGCCCATAAGTGAATTCGAATTCGGGTTCGGATTTTTAAGGGAATTGCTCTACAGACCAGTATCGACGGGGCGATTTTTGGGAATGCGTTTGTCGAGCAGTGGACGTTTTCAGTGACTTGTGTATATTTTCTTTGAGTCAGCCTAGCAATCACGGCAGTCGTGTCTGCTCAGCATAACTCACTGTCTAAAGAGACACCGCTGATGAGATGTTTTAATATTAACATTTTTAATGCAAAATTCTATTTTGAAATTAGGTCGTCTAAATGTGATATTTAAAATTTCCAAACATTTTTATTATATCTAAATTAATAATTCCACAAAATTATCAATTTTCAATGGATTGAACATATCCGTTGAAAATTGGTCTTAATGTCTTGATAATTAAGTATTGATGTATTGATAATATGAAAAATCTTAATTACAGAAACTGGTGTTCATACATAGTTAATCTCCAAGTCATTGTTTTTGTGAAAATGTGTGTATCTTCCTTATATTTTTATCGAACTTTTGTTTAACAGTTTTATACACAATCGAGGAACTTTATACTCCTTGTCACATTTTGCGTTTATTTCTTAGGCTCGATTGTCACCGTGTAGAAACTTTTGTATGTGAAATAAAAGACCATGAAGTTCCTCGACTGAACAACAATTAATCATTGCATTAATAGTCGCTCATATTGGATAAAGTATTTCTTTTAATTATGGCAAACAGTATAGGTATATCATTTAAAATAAGTATATAAGCGGACATCCTTCAATATGTTATGAACAGAAACTAAGCTTACTTTATATAAAACCATTGTGAAGTTTTAAATCTTAAAACCATTCATATTATTACACTTTTAAAGTAAAGTATCATAACTAATTTTCTGTATTATTATATTTGATCAATTTTCTGTATTCAGTATATGATTAAATGATCACATATGGCAAGCCTGAAGGGCTTCATTAAATTTTACTGTCTGCCTCAACATGAGCTTTTAAATTATAATCGATCCATATTCGTGACTGAAGGAAATCATGTGCACAGCCCTGGGAATCGCGAATCCACCACCCTGTCATTGGCTCGCGTCGTGCGTGCGTGTACAGTGTTCATTATTGTGAAAAGTATAGTGCGTATAATTAATTATGCTCAAAACTTTTATTCAGACTTAACTGTTACAGACACTAGTGAATGTAAAAATTCGCAATCTACGGCGGGAGACCTCATATTAAGGGGGGACTATAAGGGCTCCTATTTTTCGGTTTTCTTTATAGACATTGAAAAATTGCTTCATCAGACTATGAAGTTATTTTCTATTAGTATAAGATTTTAAATAATAACAAAAAGTATGATGTTACACTTAGGGGGGGAATGATATAATACAATTTCATGGCGTACCATTTACTGAAGGGTGGGGCAAAATTAAACATACTATTAATTTCGAATGTTTTTTATTAATTATAACCTTATTTCATAAAAACCTGCAAGAATTCTGGAAAATACTAGTCAAAATTTCCGTTTTTCGTTTAAAATCTAATATAAGTAATCTATGATACTTAAATATTAGACAGTCTACACACTGTTAAGAACTCAAATTCAGTAGCTAATTAACTTATTTAAACAATCAGAAACAACGAAGGTAACACTCAAACCAGAGACAAAAGTTTTCTACGTTTATCCGATCGGGTATCGAACCCGGAACCTTCAAGATGGCAACACTTTGAAACCGGCGTGTCAGTCACTCTGTAACGGAGGTACGCGTATTACGAACCCTATAAATTTTTGAAATAAATAAATCAGAACCACCACCCCTGCATCAGTAGTCGTTAACACCCACCAATCCGCAATGGGTTCGCGTGATACCTACCGGCCCTTGGCCCATACTGCCTATTTGATTAGATTAGGTTCTTTCTTCTTCTCTTTAGGGAAGGCCTGAGCTGAGCCTTAGCAGAGGGGCAGCCCAACAATAATAGGATGATATTGATGAAAGCCTAAAATTAGTGTGTTACCAAAGTGTTAGTGATGATAACAAAAACAAACAAAAATATTTTGATTGCAAATTCTTTATCAAAATAGTTTCTATTGTAAAACTGTGATCGCACTGCAGGTTGCCATCTTTCTGGAGAAAAGAATCTGGACAAATCGGTTACTTACTTTACAAGTGATAAAAACAAAATTGATTCGATTGGAGGTATGGGAAAAAGCATTCTCGCTCCTCCTAACAAACTTAATAATCGGAAGATTGGAGGAAAAATATCCGACTGCTCTTACCAATCCGAGGACTGGGAATAACCCGCATGGGTGAGAGATGCGTCCTTATAATTATTGTCATAGGTTTTTCCCTGCGTTATCAGTTTTTAAAAACCGGCACATTACAATAGGAAGCCGGGACGCGGGTATATATCTCCACTGGGGACCGCCCCAGCGAGCGGATAACAATTCTGCATATAATTATACATATACAAAAATTAATAACATAATTGGTTTCAGTTTACAGTTAAGTCCATCCCATTGTTCCTGAAGTATTTCCCCAGGGGCAATAGGTGTCCGTCCAACTATTTCTACCATATACTTATTAATCTAATAAAGCATGTTAGTTTATACCAATGGATATACTTAGGAATTCATTGTCCCTGGAAGAAATACTTCAGGAGTAAATATAATAATAATGTACATATTGTTTAGGTACTATTGATGCATACCCACCAAAAACAGAAGGTAATTGAATTCTGTAAACTTGTGGGTATAATCTTATAATAATTAATAATTACTAGGTATAATAAAATAAAATAAAATAAAGGATATTATATTACATAAATCAATTATAGAGGTATTGATGGTCATGGAATATTATGTAATACTTATATAACGTATACATTAGCTACTTATCTTTTTATTTTACAATGAAAAAGGTCAAACAAATAGATCGCGCCTATAGTCACTATCTTAGAGTATATAAAGTAGTTGTCACTATGCTTCTTGTGCTATGCGTGCAAGTTCTTTGATGTAAACAATTTCCGGATAAATATAATGGTGTTTTTTAAGTATTTAGTGATACAAATTACGCGAAATGTTTAATTTTTTTTCCTAAAATTACCGTGCCACAGAACATTATTAGTCTACAAAACGTAGTGTTTAAATTCTCTTTGTACTTTACCACCGGTACGCTCCCGGTCCCGTCACTTAAGTTCTGCAAAAAAGAACATAGTTACTTATTTATGTAGTGTTTTGAAATTCATCAAAATCATTAGAGAATATATTAAAATTTGTTGAATCGCATCAATTTGCGATTTACTGCGTAGAAGGCAATACGAACCAAATTATTGTCTTTCAGCTAAAATACTAAAATCAGATGCGTACTTAGGTACAATATTTTTGGCCAAACTACATATGAATCTAAGCGATACTTAAAAAAAAATCAGTTTTGCATTAAGCATAATTTTATTTCTTCGTTCATAGCCGGCTGGCTGTCGTTTGTTCACCGGGCACCAGTAGAAACCGGCTCATTACCACAGGCCCCAATGGATCAGTTACACAGGTCGATGGGATCAGCGCGCGGAGTACCGTCGACCTCTGTGCCCTCATCTTATTAGTCAATAAAACAATAATCGACCAATGCAACCGAGGAATAGAAATCGTCCGCTCGCCGATGTCACGGAACAGTTACTGAGTCATAAAGCAGTGTTCAGACGACAGTCGGGACACAACGTTGCTCATAAAGAATACCCACCATATTATGCCTAGATACTTATAAGTATAAAATAAAATATTATTATTTAATGAAACAAACAGTCAGTTGCACAAATGTCCATTAAGATTTAATGATTAATATTCTACTCTAATTAATGTCAAATTTGTATGGGTAACGTCGCTTTTAACTAATGAAAATTTTAATGGACGTTTGTGTAACTAGCTGTAGCTAACGCCTTCAAACTAGATATAATAAATCATATAGCTCCTTATTAAAAGTAGTTATACGATTGTTCTCATTAATGTTAATTTCTGAACATTGATGCCATAAAAATGTATTTAAATATATAAAAAAAAATATTTGTACTGAATTTATAATTATTTATTATTTCCGAAATGCTTGAAATGGAATGTCTAGTAATGTTTTATAACATAGAAAAATTATCATCACAAAGTTCACGTTCTTTTTATGTAAAGTACTTTTTAATCATTATAAGGCAATATAATTTTTGATGTTCCAATATTGACAATACAGGATATCATAAGATGTTAACATGTTGTGCTTAATCACTCAGAAGTAAACGGCCTGCATATCGATTAAAAAACTTATAACGAATCTTCTACCACAAGAGCCGTTACTTCACGAGTCAACGAGCCAAATGTTAAAGTACTTTTATTAAAATTGAACTTCAGTTTCCTTTCTTTTAAGTCCAAAGCTTGCCTTACTATAAATCGATTGAAGTTTATTGTATTTGGATGATTCAAAAATTCTTCAACATCCATCCATTTGCAATCCTTGATTTCAATATCAGACTTATTTATCGTATCCGAAGTAGCTTTCAGTAACATAACAATGTATATATCTGAATTGCCGAACATGGCTTTGTGAGTATGTCTTAAAGTCACAAGTGATTCAAATGTTGCATCGACACCAGTTTCTTCCTTTATTTCTCTAATTACAGCATTCTGTATGTCTTCACCTGTTGATGTAACATGATCTATAATTAGTTTTTTTACTTATCGCACTATATTAAAAGCAGAACTTTTATCTTCTATAATCTCTTCACCAGGTTAATAAACAAACCTCTTGTAGTATGTATAAACCTAAAAAAACGTAATCTGCTTCCACTGTTTGGGCATGAGCATTTATAAGTCGGATAGGGGAGTATAGATATATACTGTACTGAACAGGGTTTTATCCAATGGCACGAGTCCAGTTAAGGGTTGAGCTAAATCTGGAAGCACAGTATCACCTTTCGCCGTCCCTTTTCTATCGCTCAGAATCGCCATGTTCTAGAGCGAGTGTATGATAGCACGCCGTAGAATACTCGAAGCGATAGGCAACACGCTATCTTTCTCGCTCTTGTAAAACGTGGTTCTGAATGGCGCAAAAGGAAAGGGCGACGGAAAAAGATAATAACGTATTGGCAGATGTAGTCCAACCCTTAAAAGTACCAAAGAATACTGAAGATGCTGGCAAGAGCAATAGTAATGTGTCTTCTCAAGCACAGAGCAGTTTCTTATTCATTAAAAATTAGTAAGCGCAGTCGGGAACGAAAGCCCAGAAAATGCTCCAAGCTATAATTCTCTTAACATTTTGAACAGAAACTCCATTACCTCTTTCAACATATCCTCCTGGCAACTTCCAATGCGCAATTTCAGTATGTTTTTCAACTACTACCAGCATTTGATTTTTGTCATTGAGAACCAAACCTCCCACTCCAATATTAGTATGGCAAGCAGGTGGTAAATTTGCTAATGTATTTAATGGTAGCCATTTATACATCATTACAAAATTATCTCTCGCATGGTGAAAAGTGAAACCATTCTGTAAATGTTAACAAAATATCTCAAAATTAATTTATAACAGAGATTTAAGTCTTCAATAACTTAGGTAATTTTACCGTACATCAGCTAATATTGGAACCCAAGCAGCATGCTCGATATTAACTCTAAACCAAATGCATCTTTTATTTTCGTCTGTCCATTTTTTTAGTGAACCTAAAAAAAATTGCACATCATAATCATTATATTTATTCCTTAATTCATAATTCTTTGCCATGCCAATCTGGATTAACTGCAAACAGCATGGTATAATTAATTGAATTTAAATTTTTCAATGTATTATTATAATTCGTTAACAATTTTTAAACACGTAGGCGGGATGATAAATAGCTAGCCCAACCCATATTTTATATAATAACGATATAAAATCTCCTTAGTATTTTACTCATTGGTTCATTAGCTGCTAGTGTTCCAAATTTCAAATCGATCGTATTTAAATATTGACATTTCAAAAAGCATTCTTTTGTTTTTTCTGCAAAATGGATAAAATTGAGCTACGAGTTGTGATAAAGTTTTTGCATTTAAAAGGATTAAAAGGTGGAGAGATTTTTTCGGAGATAAAGGATGTTTTGGGAGAAAATGCTCCTTCATATGCGACCATAAAAAATTGGGTGGCTGAATTTAAACGTGGCCATACCAGCACCCAAGATGAACATCGTCCAGGACGTCCAAAAAGTGCCACTACTCCAGAAATTGTGATCAAAACTCATGATGCAGTTTTAGCTGACCGAAGATTGAAACTTTCCGAGATAGCTGATACTGTAGGCATCTCTAAAGAAAGGGCGCATTACATTTTGACTCAAGAATTATGTATGAAAAAATTCAGCTTATTCTCCTGATCTGGCACCATCTGATTTGCATCTATTCCCTAAGCTTAAAATTTTTTGGGTGGACAACGATTTGAAAATAATAGCGAGGTGATGTCTGCCCTGGACAGTTATTTTGAAGGGCTTGAAGAAAACCACTTCAGGGATGGCATCAAGGCTTTAGAGCATAGATGGATGAAGTGCATAGCGTTTCAAGGAGACTATATCGAAAAATAAATATACTTATAACACACAAATTCAAGTTTTTCTATGCTAGGCTAGCTATTTATCATCCCACCCTCGTACATAAATTGTATTCAAATGGTACAAAATTAAAGTATAAAATATTTGATTAACTACAGAAAACCTCAGCCCGACTTCAATGTTTCTTAAAATATGTAACCGCTTCTAAGATAAGTAGTATTTTTAAATTTGAAGTCGGATCCATTATTTTAATAAAAAGTTTTAATTTCATGCATTTTAGTGATATTTTTTAGTTTTGCGATAACAACCATCACGCATACTCAATGCAAATTTAAGACATATATGGTTCTCTCATGCCATTACCAGATCTGATCAAATTAAAATGGTACGACGAGCAGTAGCTTTCAAATAAAGAAAGTATCATCAAAATCGGTCCACCTAGTATACAGTTATGAGGTAACAAACAAAAAAAATACAGTCGAATTGATAACCTCCTTCTTTTTTTAAGTCAGTTAAAAAACAAAAAGACAGGAAACATGCAAACAATTAAACATTACACAAAAATTCAATGTCATCTAAATAAAAAACATATTAATAAATATAGTCCATATATCAATCTACTTATACAACAAGACAAACATTACTCTATAATGATCAATACTTAAAGTATTTGATGTTTGCAATTTAATAGGGTTGAACCTTTATATACAGGAAAAACAGAAATCCTATGGGATCAATACATTGTCTATCTGCCCGTCAGCCTGTAGTTTTTTTGACATTCACGTTCACCGTCGATCGCGAGGGCGATAAAATTTTAGTATGATTTTCGAATATCAAAACCCTGTAATGACAAATAGATCTTTTCTTTTGTTTTGTACGCTCTATATTGGAATTAGGTTGTGTCATTTCGAATACTTTAAAAAAAATATATAGTCCGTCTAGAAAAGGTTCAACTTAAATTTATGAAGTTACTTAATTATTGTAATAATTGCGCAAATATTGAGTGCAATTAGTCATTAAAAAGCTACCTCTCAAGTGTTGCGGATCTGTCGAAACTTATTTTGCGCACGGAGGAATAAGGGCGCTTGTGCACTTCTCTGAATTTTCAGGTCCGGCTGCCCGATTTTTTCCGGTCCAATATGTCAGGCCATATGTAGGTAATGCTAGCCTGTGCACTGTCAGGAATTTTACGTTCTGTAATTTTACTTTTCTCTATTCCGGGCCGATTCTTTCCGGTCCGTGATGGCGGCAATGAAAAACGTGTTTACGCTTGTGCACTGCTGTGTCCGTGATCCGGAAAATTTATGACTGTGCACAGGCTAGCATTACCTACATATGGCCTGACATATCGGACCGGGAAAAATCGGAATTTAATGTTAATGAATATTTAAATGACAAAACTCCTCGGTGATAAATATGGCTTATTTTTAAAAAGTGTGTGTAGTGGTTGTATGTAGTATCATGCAGTTTACCGTTTATCATTTTACGTTTTATTTATTTGATATGAATCAATTGAAGAGTAAATATGTATACTTTTTATATTTTCTAATATTGTGATGGAAAATGACATCATATTTTAATGAAGTCATATTTCAATCTTGACGACTCTGTATGGAATAAAACAAGGAGAAAAAAGCAGCACTTGCCGAGTTTCTTGCCGGTTCTTCTCGGTACAAGGTCTGTCGCCATAGACTTATGAACCGATGGCATAGTTTCGACTTTCATAAGCGCTTTGTAACAGCCTAGACTGAATAAATCATATGATCTGATTTGCTTAATGTACTTACTGCTTTTGCGTATTATTATTTTAGCTAAAGAGACAGTGGATGGCTCTTTAAGTATAAAAACAAAGCCTTATTTCCAGAGAATACTTCATAGGTACAGTTAACAGCACATCACATTATAGAAAACTGTCAAATTTCCCCACTCGATTTTAAACCATTGCAGAATTTTGACATATTATGGTAACCTGATGTGTAACCTACTGAACATCCGACAAAGTGAGATTAGCTAAACTCGGTACTGGCCTATCCATACACGTGACTCAGGTGTTTTAACAAACTTTTGATAAATACGATGAAATTTTAAATTACTGTTTCGTATACAACTAATATTAGGGGTTAAAGTATGAATTTGCTGTTACATAGAATCTTCATGGTTTGACGTTTTCGAAAGAAACTTTATTCACATGGTTTCTATGTTCCCTTGGGAAGATTTGATTGCTAAATTTGAATGGGCCCCGACTATGAGTCGTTCTGTTCTGCATAAGAATTTATGATTTATTTTATATGTATCGATTATAAAACTATTTCAATTGTGTAGTTCTTTCGTATTACTTAACCGAATTCTAAACTACTGGGCTTACTTCTTTCTTTTTATTTAAGTTACTTTTTTCATGTATTTTTTAAAATTCGTTTTTACACAGTCGGGTTTTTTGTTTTTCTTTTTATTATTTATTTTTATTTTATACTTTTTAGTTATCTATAGAGTTCATTTCTCGAGCTTGGTGGTAAACTTTTTTACTCGGCGACTTGGCGATGAATTAAAGTTATTTTTTTACCAAAAATATTTGTTCTTTATGCTTTTTCAGTTTTTTTGTTTGTATATCGCTTATACTTTAAATAAAAACTTAAATCAATAAGTAAGAAAATTAGTGAGAATTTTTGTTTTGTTAAACAACTTTAAATCGTTATACTTATATCCTAAAATATCATTTAAAATGATAAAAGGAATCTAAAGATGATTTTAAAATATCTATTCAACGACACCCCACTTGACATAGTTCATCATTTTTTTTCCTTTTTGACAATATGGCGTCTGGTTGTCGCTGTGGTAAATTTTGATTACCGACATGTCTTTAGTGACACTCGCAAGGTTAAGACGAATCGATTGACGTAAGAATCATGAAAATCGGCCTACGCATTTGGTCTCTAGAACACCACATAGAAACAAACATACATACAACATACATAGACTGATAAACACATTACCCTCCTTTGCGTCGCGCAGTCGGGTAAAAAGCACCTCCACTAAATGGTGACTCCAGCAAAAGTTGATTTTTGCAGGAAACGAATGGACCAAGGACAGTAATTTCCGTTCCTTTTAACTAACATATTAAAAAACTTAAATTTGAAAAGTTCGAAACTTAGATATCAATACAAATAGAATATGAGTTGTTTATTGAGTTTTGAAAACTAATTTATTTTTTAACATGAAAGAAAACCGAAGGGTGGACATGGAGAAACCAAGAACGTACCGTAGCGACATCTAGTTTGATTTCGGGAACTAATGGTTTTTTTTAATACATTCTCATTGCAGACAATTTCTGCGATCACAGAATATCTCGGCAAAACAGAGAAAACTACCTATACAACCTCAGCATGCGTATTATACTTATATCGTTTGCATAATCATATCCAACCAGCTTAGTAACGTGTACAGACAACTGATTCAAACAGGCGTTGAATTACACGGCTAAAAGTCGATCAGTTGAGAAGTCGAATACAATGTTCTACCAATACGGCTAAAGGGCCGTCCATAAACTACGTCACACAAAATTCATGATTTTTAACCCCCCCCCCCCCCCTCCTGTCACATTTTTGTCTATAGAATTTCTACTAAATACTGGGTATGTTCCGATATACACTGCGACCACTGAACAGTATGACGTCAATTTAGTATACTGGAAGCCCGTTCCTTTATAGCTAGTTATACTGGTGGCTTTTTAAAACGGAACGCAGTCCAGTATACTGTTAATCCTATTTTTTGGCGCAATTTTCAAATTTGTTAATGCAAGGTGAATATAAATAGAGATTCCCTCTTTTCAAAAGAAAATATTATAAAATTGTGTATAAAAAATTATTTATCAATTAAATACATCTTATAATAAACGTAAGTATTTTTTTTTGTTTATTTAGAAACTTATCATTTTCTGATTCTGTTTCGACTGATCACGTGATCAAAAGCACTGCGAGCACCTTACCTCGAAATCTCCAGTGCTCACAGTACAAATATGGCGGCAATTTATGACGTCATGAGTTTCCCTAAGGTACTGTAGCAGTGTACTGGCAGTCCATAACGGAACGGATTTTTCAGCAGTAAGACCACTGCGCAGTGCTCGCAGTGTATATCGGAACATACCCACTGTTCTAATGCCCCCTCCCCCCCGTGTGACGTAATTAAAGGGTGGCCCCTAACAGGTGATATACCTACAGTAGAGCGAGGGTTTCGCCAGACAGCAATAGTCGCAACCACATCAAACGACCCATCTTAGATCAGTGATCCAACATTTCATCATCCATCATCCGTGTTGGATCGTTTGGTGTGGATTTGGATAATGAGTCATGCACCATAGTGTGACGATAGCCTAGAATTTCGCATTGTAAAGCATGTAAGCAAGCAGTATTATCTGTACGCCCTCTTAATGGGGTGGACATACCAAATCACTAACTTTCGTTTGGTTTTGTTATAATACTTCAATTTAATAACATCGCAATAAGCTGTAATAAAAAATCTTTCTAAATGTTTTGTCTTAGTCAAAACGTGATTCATAAAACTTTGTGATAAAAAGACACTATGGACGGGCCTAATGTGTACTTATGTGTATCGTGTATCTAATTTATTTACATGATTTTTATTCAGGCAAAAGGCAATTGATTAAAATCTTACGACGTGATAAACATTTTTGAACTTTTTAGCTATTTAAAGATTATTTTAGGTAATAAAATTATTGAAGCACTTAGTATGTGACTTACATACTTTATTATATAAATAGGTACATACCACAAAGTATTTCTGAAAACTTCTGTAAATCACAAGTTTCTTTCAGAGAATCTATCGTAACACCATCATATCTATCCACGACACCTTCAAAAACCTTAAAATCCATTATGTATATAGAATTAAATTTAATGTAAAAATATTATGACAATAATGACTTAACTTCAAATTAACTTAAAAATTTCAACCACAGTAAAATTACAATACTACCTAACTACCATACTGTAATACTACACTACTCACTTTTAGACAATCTGACATAACCACAAACTTTGACCTAAAATAAGGGGCTAGAGATGTTCGAGAATAATAAACAACACACTATTTCAAATATCGATCGATTTAGTTGATATTAATCGGTTTCGAAATGCGTCGAATCTACTCGTACTAAATGTAATATTTAATAACATTAAAATAATTTTTCATCATAATTATTTGTTTCATTTTAACTACAGTCTCTTTGTTCATCAATAAAAAAGATGTTTTATTTTATGGGGAGGCGTAAAGTCAAAAGAATAGCTCTGTTTCTTTCATGGTAGTCGCAATGAGTGAATAAACCAGTACAAAACTTATTTTGGTATGAACGTAAGATTGATTAAATAAAAATAATGGCAAAAAAGTGTTATTCAGACATATAATGTTATTTTGAATAGATAAATTAAAATATTTGAATTGAGATATGAATAATACCAATAAATAACAAAGAAAAAGATTTTTATAAAAATATCATCATCAGCCCTTTTACGTCCTCACTGAAGGGGTTCAGCAGCCTATTTATTAATTCAACTGACAACATAAAATCGTTATCAATAATGTGTCAAAATTACATATTTGTATCTTCTATCAATGGTTCGCAATTTCGAAATGTCAATATCAGCGATGATGATGTACCGCAACATTTTTTTAAATTGTTATTACATTGCTGAAAATTGTATAAAGCCCCGAAGAATTTCAATATTTGTGGCAAATTTAGGATTGTTATCATATCATTGTTAACTTTCTGAAGTATTTATTTAATTACTCGTATTAATACGAAATAAACCAATTATTTGATTTTTTCATTATTGTTTGGTTATTAGTATGTATGTTTTCTTATAGCGTTGTTAACGGAGTATATAGAGCCGTTAGAATGTTTGCCATGCTTGAGTACAAAATAATAATAATAATCTCGTCGGAATAGGAGTAAAGCATAATTTAAAATTTTAAAGTTTCAATTAAGAAAAAAAAAATCATGGACAACACACAAACTAACCTATATCTTACATTATATCGATAATAGAGAAACTGCTCCCAACCTTGTTTCTTACGTCCCTATTTACGGCCCGATATGACGTGTGTAGGATTGGCAGTATCGGTTTCTAGTATCGATACCGAGTACTCATTTGGTATCGAAGGACATGGTGTCAATATCATAAAAGTATCACTCCCAAAGTATCAATATTACTCAGTATCGAGTATTTAACTACTTCATGAACCATGTATGAACATTAGATTTTTCAAAGTTTATTAATAGAAAAGACGTCAATTTTCTTTCAGAAAAAAATACGAAGTTTTATTTTTCTTTCAGAAAAATAAACGATGTTTCATTTTTTTCAGAGAAAAAACGAAATATGGCGCAACCAAAGTGTTTGTGTTTTTATTCACTTCACAACGAGGAGACGATTAAGGAACAAATTAAACAGTTTTTCTTGAGAAAGAGAGAAAGTGAGAGAGAGATGTTTTTATTTTTAATTTTATATAATAATATTGATCTTTGAATTATTAAAAAATCCCCCGAATACTCAGTCAGAGATTAAAACTTTCCTCTTTAATCTGACTGAGTACTCAGAATTTTATAATAAAAGATTATTAAATATAATGAAATTATAGCATCTTCTATCTGCTTTTTCATTTTGTTACGCTGCTATAATTTCCTTTTAAAATTATGTCCAATTTTATAAGACACTGCAATTATTGTAGCAATTGTAACGCTGGAATGAAACACCGTCCGAAATATTCAAGCTTTTAAGGAGTTGGTAATTTATAGTTTTTTTTGGTAATTCAGTCATAGAAGCTTAATGTCAATTATAAATAAGAATAGGGATGAGGGAAGACGACAATTTTTTTGTTTGTTTATCCGTTAGGTAGATTATTGAAGAATATAAAATACGTTTTTTTTATTTATTGCGTAATCAATAAATTACGGCGACACACTTAAGTTGAAATTTCGCATGATGTCACGCTTTTGTACATACTTATTATCTAAGCCATTTCTTGTGTAAATTGAAGCAAAAAATATGTATTTATTATTTTTCTATTATCTGACTGGCGGACTTACTTACTAGAATTTCTTTTTTTTTTACCAAGTTGTCATCCCTATATTTGAACTTTTCCCTATTTGTATTGAAATCTAAGTTTCGAACTTTGCAATATTCAGTTTTGTAATATGCTAGTTAAAAGAAACAGAAATGACTATCTTTGGTCCATTCATTTTCTGCAAAAATAAACTTTTGCTAGAGTCGCCATTCACTAGAGGTGCTTTATTGGTGCTTTGTTTTTATTTTAAAATACTCCCTCATTATAGTGAGTACTTTACTTACCGTGCTGCAGTATCGAGTACTCAGTATTCAGTATCGCTTTTGAAAGTATCAATACCTACTCGGTATCAAAAGTATCTTTCGAACTTCGAACCCTAGATACGTACGTAGTATCTCTTATTGGTCTGTGCTCTAGACAGCATGTGTCAAATCAAAAGGGGCCTCAAAAGATGCTCTATGGGGCCTCATTTGTGAAGATTGATTAAAAAGTTGTAAATACTATTTATTTATATCTAAAAAGAGCTTTTTTAATTTGTGATGATTTAATTAATCTTCAATTAATTTATTAAAATTATTGAAAATTTGCTACTTCAAACATAATGATTTATAAATCAATCATAAGCCGAGCAAATACAATTTTAGGATTGATTAACAGTACTAAAAGGTAGTATTTTTCCTTTTCCTTCTAAAATTTTAATAATAGGTAAGATATGTGATTTTAATTTATGCTGGTATGTATATAATAATTAACAATAATTGTTTTTTAGTAAAAATATAATTTGATTTTTTTTTAAATCTTTTTACAGACATTGCTTACTTGCTGTACAATATTCAAAGGAAATGAATTATAAAATTGGAGTCTTTGGTGGTGATCTTGATAGATATAAAGGAATTACTGTTGATTCTACAAAAGAGAATTTCAACAAAGATTTTGATGTTAAATTGGCAGGTAAATAACTCATGTCATTATTATGTTGTCCCCAGTTCAGTGACGACAACAGTGTCCATAAACTCTACCATGGATGATGTGGATTAAATAAGGCCACCTGAGTGTTTGATTTTCTGAAATACTTTGTTTAATATTTGATAAATTTTGCATTCACAATGCTATACTGAAATATATTCTTAATACAAAATGCTTAAAAAATCCACTTGGTCCCTGGCACCCTGAGAACAGATCCTCATCTTTATCAAAAGTTTCAATATTTGTAATAAAATTTCTTTCGGCCATTTAGGTGGATGCCTGAACATTTATGAGAATGCGAAAAGTAACAAGTACTTGAAAGATTTGTCAGTCCTGTTAGGTCCTCGGTAGCTAAGTGGTTAAAGCAGTCGCCCAGAATGCGAAAGGACGTGGGTTTGAATCCCATCTCAGGATGCCAGGGACCAAGTGGATTTTTTAAGCATTTTGTTTAATATTTTTTGTTATTGTAATTTATGATTTTGCTCTTTTTAAAAACTGGGCATTTGTATTGTTTCTATTTCTGTGTATAAAATAAGGTGTATGATGAGCAGCATAGACTGGTTGATTGATTTTCTATTAAGTTACCATTTATAAATAAAAAATAAATTATTATAATGACCTCTGTTACATTCAAATCTTCGTACCTATAGTAAAGAGAAATAATTATTTGAGAATATGTTACAACTGCAAATATTTTTACCAAATAAACAAGAATTTTATGTTTTTTAGAATTCAATTAGAATATTATTTTATTAACCATCTATCAACAATACAACTAGATAATGCCTTGCATACTAAAACAATCCTCAAATATAGCACCATATACTGCAACAACCAAGGAACATAATACCACAGTATATTCTGTAATAACACTCTAGGCCATGACTAAGCTCCAGAACTGGGTAAGAGTTGCTATGTCAATTTTATTTTTCTTAGTAAAAAATACATATAATTTTTATGCAAGTGCTGCCCTGTCAAATATTATAAGCAAAAAATACTTATATGTTTATAATATTCTTCAGGACAGCACTTGCATAAAAAAATAAATTGTGTGTGCTTAAAGGTTATCCATGAATATTTTTGCTAAATAATAATTATTTCTATTTTTAAATCAAACAATGGTCCTGCCTAGCAGTAACAGTTTATAATAAATAATATGCTTCCACTCCCACTATAAATACAGGATTACTTTGTTACGAGTAAATCACCATTGTCTGTGAAGCCTGACTGACCTTTGACCACAACTTTTTACGCACGTTTACGTGATTTTCATTACGCCGTAATAAACAAATGAGTACACGGTTCATTAGGTTTCTTTCAGTGAGCTTATGAGGTGCCCGAATATCCAACTTTTATGTGTACCCTGCTGATATCAAATGCGCAAAACTGTTTTGTGGTCGATCCCCAGTTCTTAAGCTACGTCGTAACTATTGACATGCTAATCTTGCTCCACTTTTTCAAAAATGACATCCATTTTATCCGTAACCAACTGTTTTAAAATAAAAGTAGGAGATAGTTTGTCAGGATTCAGAGAAATTGGAGCTGAAGTGCCACAGGGCTCTGTTCCGGGACCTATACTATTTACACTGTGAATCTGCCTACATCAACTGATATAGATGAGATGATACCGCCACATATGCAGAAGATACCGCTGTACTCTCTTGTAGTGCGGTCCCCAACATTGCCTCAAAAAAACGTCAAAAGCATCTTATAAGATTGCTTCTTGGCTGAAATTAGGGCTAGTGCCTCAAAGTTAACGCATATAAATTTCATGTTAAAGAAACAGGACTATCCTGCCGTTAAACTCGATAGTATATCTTACCTCATTAGGCAAGTATTAAATACTTAGGAATGTGCCTTGACAGATATCTAACTTAGAGAAACCACATAAAAGCAAAGAGAGACCTAATCAAAAAATCAATGAAATGGACTGGTTACTCGGAAGAGAATCAGTAATAAGCTGGGAAAACATCCAACATTGTAATCTACAAATCCATTATCAAACCTATTTGGACATACGGAATAGAGCTCTGAAGTTCAGCTAGCCACTCCAATGTGGAAATACTTCAACGATTCCAAAATGCTGCCTTCAAGATCTTGTATAAGTCACCTTGGTTTACAAAGAATTCTGAAGTTCATGAATGTCTGCAGATGCCATACATCAAGAATGATATTTAAAAAAATGTTGCGAGACTTACATTAAACGACTTGAAGTTCATAAAAACCAATTAGCTACGGAACTGCTTAACAGCAATGATAATGTAACACGCTTAAAAATAATGCCACTCACCATGATCTGAAGGACCATGTGGTATATCAGTTTGTGAATGAGGGGAGGGTGCATCACTGGAAGCGCCAAACTCCAATAACAATGATAGATGTCAGCGCATCTGATTAAAGCTTAAAGGCTGATTGCAGATAAAGAAAAAAAAATATCCGTAACAGGGCAACCGGAGCGACGCGCATCTTGACATCAAAATTACGGACTGAAAACGCGTAAACAGAAACTACACTGGGTCCATAATCATCACAATTTTTTTTCGCGGCTTGCGTTGCATATTTATCTTTTTTAACCCCCGACGACACAAAAAGAGTCGTGTTATAAGTTTGACGTGACTGTGTGTGTCTGTCTGTGGCATCAGCTCCCGAACAGATTTCAATTTTGTTTTTTGTATTAAAGGTAACTTTTATATGGGAGTATTATTAGATATGGTTGATGAAAATCCTTTTAAACGGCTCAATAGTTTATAAGTTGTGGGGGCTGAAAGTGGGGAAAAAGAACTGAATGTCTGCAAATATAATCTAGTGGGGTGCATTGGCAACTTAATTAAGAGTGTTCTTAGCTTCGGTTGGTGAGAAAATTATATAATAAAGAGTTGAAGACTAATATAAACATTAAGTAATAATTATTAAGTATAGAAACAAAAACAAGTAATTAATAAGTTAAATGAAAGCGAACAAGCTTGACCTTAAAAGTAATCTTTACCTTAAATATAAACTTGAAAATCTTCAACAAGAATTTGTGTTATAATAAGTAGGTACCTATAAAAAGAAAAAAATAAAAAGCCCTTGACATAAAAACATAAGTCCCTATAAAGTAATAAATTACAAAATAATTTAATCTTAAAGTACCTTAATATGTATTAATAAATAATAAAAAATACGTAGCGTTGGGGGACCGCTCGCAACTGTGATTTCTGCGTGATTTTTCTCGGAAACAAAAACAAATTAACAATTTTGACTTGTTGAATAGTGAAGAATAACTCTTGGTATAGAAATTAGTGGCTCAACTTTTTGGAAATTTTGCTCATCTTTTTAATTAAATCCAAAATACCAGAGAAAGTTTTTCATAAAATGCGCAAAGACACTTTTTTGAAGTCCTGGATTGAGCTACTGTTCTTAACAAACGAAATAAAAGAAATAGAATGATATCTCTTATATAGTCGTAAAGTAAACAGTAGCTCGAAATTTTGAAATAGCACTGATTAAATATAGAAAAACAATTATATTACAAACCAAAAAACATCAAAAATTGCTTGAAGTTAACTTTGAATTTCTCTTAGCCACAACAATATTATTTAACAAAATTTATGCCAGATTAATGACTATTTCATAAGGAACAAAGTTATTATAATTTTAAAGCATAAATTTATTATATTATTTCAATAAATACGATAAATGTAAACGCAAAATCACTACAAAATAAGATGCAGCGGCCGTCTGAGCTCAGTACCGCGCGAGCGCTCCTCAACGTTAGACCTGTGTCGCATTTCTTCGCGCCATTTTTCGATCTAGATACGTTCGAGCGAGCGTAAATAGAGCAGTATAGTGGGACTTCCAACTTTGGTCACGAAGTTCGATTTATATGGAATTTATATAGCTTATTGAATTATTTCTAATACACATTTGTTATTTTCAGCATAGGTCGAAAGACCCCTAGGTATATTTGTATAAGAAAGTTAAAATATATATTTATATTATGAAATGCAAATAAAGCAAGGTACTTCTTCTCTCAATACACTTATACTAGTACATAAAATTGGAGTGCATATTTGTAATATTAAAATAACCGCTTTTCACTAAATACATTTGTGTGTATACATGGTACATATACAAAAATAATATATTTTATCTGTCTGTCTGTTAGTTCTGGCTAATCTCTGAAACGGCTTGGCCGATTTTGAAGAGACTTTCACTAGAAGTTGATTTACGTAATGAGGATTAACTTAGACTTATGGCTCGATGCAATTCGACCGATATCAAATTTATCGGAGATCCGCATATGAAACAACTTTTTCTAAATTCAATATATTTTTAATCCCGGACGCAAAAACGACGCGGTGTTATAAGTTTGACATGTCTCTCTGTGTGTGTGTGTGGTGTGTTTGTGTCTTTTTGTGGCATCATAGTTCCCGAACGGATGAACCCATTTTGATTTTGTTTAAAAGGTGTATTAGTCGGGAGTGTTCTTCACTTTGATGAAAATCGATACAAGATGGCCGCCGCCACAAAATGTCGGATCACATATTTTATCACCATTCCATCAATATGGGTATCAAATAAGAGGGCTTGAGTAGTAGAATACTGAACACTATGACAAATTTCAAATCCAAGATGGCCGCCACCAAAAATGTTGGATTACCTACATATTTTTCACGACTCCCTCAATACGGACATTAAATAAAAGGGCTTGAGTAGTAGAATACTGTTTACTATGACAAAATTTTACATACAAGATGGCCGCCGCCACAAAATGTTGGATTATTTATTTATTTATTTTGTACACACATACAATTTCATATGAACAAATGTAACAGACATTAGTACAAGGGCACTGCTTATTTCAAATTGAAATTTCTACCAGCAGGCCCAAAACAGGAAAAAGAAATACAATAAGGTAGTCAGTGTGTACCTCCTAAATAAATTAATATGGAATAAAAAAAACAAATTCAAATACCGGGAAAGAGAGAAAATAAAAATACATA